CTACAATTTCTTATTCTCGAGCAGTAGACTTGTTACTCTAGAACAGTAGACTTGTTACTCTGGAACAGTCGGCTTGTTACTCACGAGTAGTAGACTTGTTACTCTAGAACAGTAGGCTTGTTACTCTCGAGTAGTAGACTTGTTATTCTCGAGTAGAAGACTTGTTACTCACGAGTAGTAGACTTGTTACTCACGAGTAGTAGACTTGTTACTCTGGAACAGTAGGCTTGTTACTCTCAAGTAGTAGACTTGTTATTCTCGAGTAGTAGACTTGTTACTCTCGAGTAGTAGACTTGTTACTCTGGAACAGTAGACTTGTTATTCTCAAGTAGTAGACTTGTTATTCTCGAGTAGTAGACTTGTTACTCTGGAACAGTAGACTTGTTACTCTAGAGTAGTAGACTTGTTACTCTCGAGTAGTAGACTTGTTACTCTCGAGTAGTTGACTTGTTACTCTAACACAGTAGGCTTGTTACTCTCGAGTAGTAGACTTGTTACTCTAACACAGTAGACTTGTTACTCTAATAGAATAACAAGCCTACTGTTTTAGAGTAATCAGTCTACTGCTCTAGAATAATCAACCTACTGCTCAAGAGTAACAAGCCTACTGTTCCAGAGTAAAAAGCCTACTGTTCTAGAGTAACAAGTCTACTACTCTAGAGTAACAAGCCTACTGTGTTAGAGTAACAAGTTTACTGTGTTAGAGTAACAAGTCTACTGTGTTAGAGTAACAAGTCTACTGTGTTAGAGTAACAAGTCTACTGTGTTAGAGTAACAAGTCTACTACTCTAGAGTAAGAAGCCTACTGTTCTAGAGTAACAAGTCTACTACTCTAGAGTAACAAGTCTACTACTCTAGAGTAACAAGTCTACTACTCGAGAGTAACAAGCCTACTGTGTTAGAGTAACAAGTCTACTGTGTTAGAGTAACAAGTCTACTGTGTTAGAGTAACAAGTCTACTACTCTAGAGTAACAAGTCTACTGTGTTAGAGTAACAAGTCTACTACTCTAGAGTAAGAAGCCTACTGTTCTAGAGTAACAAGTCTACTACTCTAGAGTAACAAGTCTACTACTCGAGAGTAACAAGCCTACTGTGTTAGAGTAACAAGTCTACTGTGTTAGAGTAACAAGTCTACTGTGTTAGAGTAACAAGTCTACTGTGTTAGAGTAACAAGTCTACTACTCTAGAGTAACAAGTCTACTGTGTTAGAGTAACAAGTCTACTGTGTTAGAGTAACAAGTCTACTACTCGAACAGTAGGCTGGGTTACTCTCGCACCGTAGCATTTTACTCTCGAACAGTAGGGTTGTTATTCTAGAACAACATATTTTTACAAAACAATAAAATATTTTCGTAGAAACAGCTTAGACTCACATTAATGAATGTTTAATAGAAAACTAAAGGTTTTAAATGGAAGACCGAAAACCCATACACTGGAAGTCTCTTTGGGATTAAAACAGCTATAAGAAAAATCTGTGCATAAAATTATTCTAATAATATGAAAAGTCCAGTGAAAGAAATTTTGTTCTTCGATAACTAGACTTGTTCGCTCATCTTAGTTGTTTGGAAATTATCTTTAGTAAGAAAGGAAAAGTTGGGAACATTTCTTATAAACAATATGAGAAAATTAATTTATAATTCTTAAACAACTTAGTAGTATGCAAGTAGAACAAAATGTAAAGAGAAGGTTACTTTGAAACAACTCTTTTCATACATAAAGTTCTTACTTTACCTAAAGAGAAGGTTACTTCGAAACAACTCTTTTCATACATAAAGTTCTTACTTTACGTAAAGAGAAGGTTACTTCGAAACAACTCTTTTCATACATAAAGTTCTTACTTAAAGCTCGTATTTGGAACGACAGCGAAATCTTTGTTTTCATTTCTTTTTGAGTAAATAAATTCACCATTGAAATTCTGTCCACGATGAACTATTACGTCAACCATAAATAAATAAATTTGATTTGTTATGTGTAAATGAGCATGACATCTTTAACGGTTTCGTAGTTTACATGGGCTATTTAATCGTGCGTTTTACATTAAACACCTGGATAATTTTATCTAGAAATGAAAAACTGTAATACGTGTTGAAATGATGCATTCTACTCTTCCATCTGTACGTAAAGAATAACTAATAAACAAGCCTTGTGAAATTTTGTGCTTAATTTCAAACAAACGAGAAACGAAATCTATGTTTATCTTTGATATTTTCATTTTACCTTCCGGGGGAAAGGAAGCATTTATTGAGGGGGAAAGGAAGCATTGATTGAGGGGAAAGGAAGCATTGATTGAAAGGGAAAGGAAGCATTTATTGAGGAGGAAAGGAAGCACTGATTGAGGAGGAAAGGAAGCATTGATTGAGGGGGAAAGGAAGCATTGATTGAGGGGGAAAGGAAGCATTGATTGATGGGGAAGGAAGCATTGATTGAAACTGGAACAGTTTTTGTAGTAGAGGGAAGAATGGTGAAAATCATTGAATAAAATCGAAAACCTTCTACCCAGTAGGAACCACGTGAAGCCAGGGGGGGGGGCCAGCCGCACCCTCGGCATCCCTAATTCCCGCGCCTTTAAAAAGATGGCTACTTGTGTTACTCAAAATATTATGTGAAAACTATTTTCCAAAACAAGTCCATAGATTTGCATAAACTAGTAAATATGTTGGGGTAAGAATGTGTTACTGGTGAGCTTTATAGATGCATCGCCTTGGGATCTTATAAACAGAAAGATGAACAAGCCCCAGTGATATCAAGTTTGCTATTTTACGATCAAAATTCATTCATTAATTAATCTTTATTTGTTTCTATTTCAAAAAAAAGATAAATTGAAACCAAGAACGAAAATCAATGACATCCACGCTTATATTTTCCAGAGTGACGTCATTCTAGTACTGGGAAACCACGATGTGAGAACGGCAGAACACGCGGCAAATTTGTGGTTTCAAGGTTTTGCCGAATGGCTGGTGCTTTCAGGAAACGTTGGTAGCATGACGAAAGGTAACAGTTCCTTTCATTAAAGAAATGACAACTGTGAGGGTAAACATAATATTTATTTCATTTAACAAATCTTTTTTAGTTACGTCAGTGAATTGATAAAATATATTTTTTACACAACAACATTTGGATACTACTAAAATATTTTATTCGTATGGTATATATATAAAAAAAAGCAACGTAAAGAAACCTTGACGCTACGCTATGTTAGCTAACGAAACGTTTTATCAGTCTTTTGAGGATATATAAAAATTATTGTGTTGATCGGATCTCTAGTGTGTAATTTTTATGTAAGGAATGTAACATAATTTTTGGCGCTCGACTCGCAATCTGAGGGTCGCGGGTTCGAATCCCCGTCACCCCAAACATGCTCGCCCTTTCAAAGAGG